GCTTTAAAAAAATGTTTGCAGTACTGAGATAAACTTAAAATTGTTCGTTTAACCATTTAATTTCTCTAAATGATACTAATGAACATTATGAAAGTGAAAATGTGAAATTGAATTTTAGTCTTGAATCTTGATATTGAATTATCATATTTTCTTGACTTTATTTTAGAAAAAAATGAGTCAAAATGGAAATCTTGAAATTGAAATTAGTAATCATGTTTTAACGTGACCCGTTCACATTACTAATAATCATATTACCAACAATCATTTTACCGACACTACTGACAGGTACATTTTACTGACACTCATTTTACTAACACTTATTTTACCAACACTCATTTTACCATCAACACTGTATTTCAAAATACTAATTGAATATAATAATGTACTGTATATTATTTCAATTAATAATAATAAATAATAAACTAATAAAAGTTTTATTTTAAACAATAATAAATAAACAATAACAAAATAAATAAATAACTATTTCTATATTACTTTATTTTATTACATAGTAAGTACTATATTATTATTTTGTTAGTAAAATGATTGTTAGTAATGTAAACCAGATCCATTTAAGATGGTACCATTGTAAAGGAAACAATAAATATCAAAACTAGACTTAATCCAAATAAAATATTAGGCTTTTTCAAAGTGATTGTTTGACTTTACCATTTTAGTACTAGTTTTGAAAATAAATAAAAAATAATATAAATAAGTGGTTGATGTGGCTTATAGATTAACATTAAAGATTCAATGGATTTTTGGTAGTACATATGATGGTAGAGTAAAAGTCTTACTGTAAATATGCAAAATAGAAGAAGATATTTTTTTTTTTAAAACAAAGAAAATAATAAAAATAATAATTTTTATTTCTCTTTTTTTTTTATTTCTCATAATTTAAAATGAGTGATAACAATCTACATTTTAATCACTTTGTAAATTACTATTCACAGAATTATTGGCTTTATCAGGCAACACAAATTGATTTTTACGTTATCCTTTAATCCAACTACCTTCAAAAATTAAAAAAATTAACTACTCAGATTTTAAACATTCAGCCAGTTATATCATAAAACAATTAGTCCACAAAAAGAAACAAATAACTATAAATATATATTTATTAATGAGTTAGAAGAAGTTAAAGAAATTGATGAGGCTACTAATGAAATAATTGATGATGAAATAATTGATAAAATGATAAATGTGATTGATGATGAAGAGGATTCCAGCTGTATTACTAAACTTTAGACATATTTAAGGTTGCTTGCCGAAACCTAGGGGTTTAGGCAATATGGCTTTTCTCCGAAAAGCGAAATTCTGCCTAAACTATATTAAAGTTATATTAAAAAACTGGCGAAACTTTGGAGAAAGGCGAAACTGCCGAAACTTATTATAAATGCCGAAACTGTCAAAACTCTGCCGAAACTATAATAAATCTATAGTAAAATTTTGACGAAACTAATCGTAGGATTTTGAAAAGGTTTAGACAAGCAACCTTAGACATATTCTGATATTAATAAACTTCTTGATATATTGGCTGTAAATTGGGAATTGTATAACACTAGTCGAACGATGTCAAATCAGGGACCAATCAGGTGACCGAATTCCACCTGATTGGTCTCTATTTTTTAAAAAATTTTCATCAATCGGTAAACCCGATTGCTGCCAAAAGATGGCGCAAAAGGAGGATACTCAGGTACCAATCGGGATATTCAATAGAATATAATTGGGTATTAATAGTTACCAATAGGATATTTACTGGATATTTACTATTTGACATATCAGTATACCGATTGATAACTTTTTGATAAATTTATAACAATAAGAAATCTGCCGAGTGCTGATTGTATACATTTTTATTTAAATTTATTTGATATTTTACAATAATTACATTTAATAATTTAAATTTATTAATTATTAAAAATACAAAATCAGAAATACTACTAATACTGAAATTTTATCTGGAATTCGGTATCCAGGTTGGAGCAAATTCCCTACAAAAGAAATAAAAAAACATTAAAGAAAGTTTTTTAAAAAAAAGTTTCAAAAGTTAAAACTTACTTATAGGATTCCAGTATATACATCTATCAGAGCCGATTCCCTATAATAGAATAATAAAAAAACGTTTATTACCATTTTTTTAATAGTTTCGAAAAAAAAATTTCTGAAACTTATTACTTATGGGATTCTATGGGATTCATTATACCGATTCCCTATAATAGAACATTTAAAAAAAATGTTAAAAACGTTTTTTTAATAGTTTTGAAAAATTATTTTTCAAAACTCACCTATGGGATTCGTTATAACCGATTCCCTACAATTGAATATTAAAAAAAAAAGTGAATTTCAAAAAATTATTTTTCAAAACTCACCTATGGGATTCGTTATAACCGATTCCCTACAATAAAATGTTAAAAAAAATGTTAAAAATCGTTTATTAATATCTTCAAATAAATGGTTTTTTCAGTTTAATAAAGTTTCGAAAGTAAAATGTTTGAAACTTTTGTGGGATTCCAGTATCCAAATCGGAACCAATTTCCTAAAAAAAAAAATTTTTTTAAAGGTTTCAAAAGTAAATGTTTGAAAAAAAATGTTAAAGATAGTATGAAATAGTTTAAACTTTTTTTTAAGTTTCAAAAGTAAATGTTCGAAAAAAATGTTAGTGTAAATTTCAATAGTATAAAATAGTTTAATTTTAGTTAAAGAAAAATAGTTTATCAATAGTCTAATTGAAACAATAGAAATCAATCAGTAAATTTAAACTGAATGATAGTTATCAATCAGGTATTAACCTGATTGATACCCGATTGAAGTGTACACTAATTTCTAACTATTGAATAAATCAGGTGACCGATCAAAAAAAAAGTTACCAATCGGGTAGATACCTGATTGGTCAGCGTTTTACCTGTGATGGTCAAAAGATTTCTGTGATGTAGTTAGTAAAGTAAATGTACTCTGGCAAAGAAATCCTCCAGATATTCTGACAGGGTCACCTAAAGTGTCAAAAAAGACGGACCTCCTCTCTGAAAGAACACGTGTCAAAGTCAAATTAGATAAACCTATTTCTGTACTTGGTAACAAACTTCACAGAAAATTCCGTACAGGAGATATAAGATGGAACCCAAATATTCGTGTAATCAAAAAAATGATACTCTCACCCGAACAGCCTCCTATATATCTCCTTAACGGACCATATGGTCGATTAGATGTATTTAGATGTGCATATACCCGAAAGGAATTGCAAGTAGTTCCTATTAATGAAAAGCCCACCTGACTCTGTAATAAGAGGACAACCTGAAAGATTTGTTCCTGAGCAGATACTTCAGTATCACATTAAAAAAGGTCAACATTAGTACTTGGTCAAGTGGGAATGATACTCAGATACAGAAGCCACTTAAAAACCTGCTGATCGGTTGGAGGAGGATGTCCCTGACTTAATTTGCAAGTTTTGGAAATAAAAAAATAGAAGAATTAAAGGGCCTTATTTTTTGTCTTTTCGATTAGCATCAGGAACTATCAGGATAAAAACATTCTTCCCATCACAGGTAAGGGCTATATGTTCACATAATTCATGAACATCATAATTGTAACGTTTCAGACATGTTTAGCTTAATAACCTAATCTCTCTATGCTTATATCCATCAAAACTGCAAGATTCTCAGTGATAACACATTTAGAGGTGAGTTTGATTAACACACCCTAGTCGCATGTAACTTCATAATATAATTATATTATGAAGTTACATGCGACTTAGATTAGGTTATGAAGGTAACTTTATAGTCTGCCGGTGTCTTCATAACATAATGGTATCTTCATAGTCTATTGGTAACTTCATAATATAATGGTAACTTCATAGTCTGCCAGTGTCTTCATAACATAATGGTATCTTCATAGTCTGCCAGTGTCTTCATAATATAATGGTGATATCATAATCTAATTTCATGATCTGGTGGTAACTTCATAACTTATTATTCATAATCTGATAGGGATTTCATAACCTACTTATGGGTAGCTCCTTTGCATTTATAATATTGTTTCAACTGTTTCCTGTATAATATAGTGGTGATTTCATAGTCTAATGGTGGTTGGGAATGCTTTAATTTAATGGTGATGTCATGATCTAACGGTAACTGCTTTCTTCTTGCTCTTAATTCATTTACATAATAAATTCTACATTGTTGGTATTGGCTTTCTATCCTTGTTTGAATGCCTGGTTCCATGTTGAGGATTCTGACGCTCTGTGCTTGTTTGGATGCTAGTTCTATATATATTGAGAATTTACGCATATTTGGTTACCTTTCTAGATGCTGAAATAGTATAAAAAAAGGTGACGGGTGGCGCAGTAGATCTGCGATTAATTTTGGCTGATATTATACCATAATTCTGGCTGATCTTTAGAGCACATGATTTGAAGATCCAGCTTGGCGACATGATAGTGTCATGGTAGTATCATGGAACTATCGTGGAACTGGTAGGGAACTATCATAGAACTGTCATGAAACTGGCAAGGAGCTAGTGTAGTAGGGCAGAAATTTTACTGGGTCGAGACAGTGTGTATGTTATTTTTTTTGAACGTCCCTATAAAAATTCTCTGTCCCTATAAGAAAAATTCATAGGGACGCTTATAGGGACAATCTTGATATCATTTTTGGACTTCTTAGCTTGATTTATTGAGTTCTTTATTACTTGTCCCTATGTCCCTATGAGTCCCTATGAAATATAAAAGTTCTAGGAAAAAAAAATCAAAATTTTTCTATGGTATACCAATTGGGCAAATATAGTCATGTATATGGTTGATATAATTGATATATGATGAATATATGATATAAAAAAAAGTAAAGAGTTCGAGAATTCATAAGGACTCATAGGGACATAGGGACAAGTAGTAAAATTGCTTTCCCAGAGTTCTAAAATCGGAAAAGAAGATACTTCTAGCGTTCTTGTTAAGTTTTTTTGCCGTCCCTATAAATTTTTCATGAGGCCAAATTTTCGATAAGTCATTAGGGCCAACTTATAGCATTAGGCCTTTTCATTCTATCGAGAGCCTGCCCCAATGTCTCTGGAGTCTGCCCATTCTGAAGCATCTTAGCTAACTTCTTCCGGTAATAATTTGCTTTCGAATGGGACTTATTTACATGCAAATTACAATATCCATATTTTGATGCTGTCGGTCTTACACACCCATCTTGTTTGCATAGAGGTCGCTGGCGTCTTTTCCAGTGAATACTACACCCTTCTGGTCGCGTACTTCCATTCCCACAAACTATTCCTTCATCGGAGAAATACTGGCAAATGTATTTACCACCCATTGATATTATTCTTGGATAACACTTTGATATCTATAATAATATTTATTTTTATTTTAAACTTTTTTGTTGGGGTATTATACCAAAACGGTATACTAGATAACATATCCGAAAATTTTTACTATGAGCCAATCCGAGCTTTCAGAGTTTCTTAACGCCCCCACCCCGTACTATTGTGGGTTTAAAGCCTTCGATATAGGACAATGCCAATATAAAATTCGTGATGATAGTGTTAGACCAAGGCATTTCCTAGGCGCGGATAATGAGGATGGAATAGAAGCCATACTCTCAGAACGTGAAGGCCATTCCTTACACGAAATCATCGATGGTGATGAACCACTCCGCCCCATTATAGATTTTGACTTACTAGTAGAAGCATTAAATGCTATTACCCCCAAGCTTTCAAGCGGTCAGGCAAAAAATTTACTTTGTCGCGCCTTTAGAGATACTTGCCTAGAAATATTCCCAGAATGGGATAAAGAAACTATGTCTATTGCCGAAAGTAGTGATAAGAAAAAAATATCTCTACATGTCTTAACTTTCGGCATGAGACTTCCAAATATCACTAAGGTTTCAGCTTTCACCGAACTTGTTCGCAAGAAACTTCCAGCAGGATTACAGAAAAAAGGGATAATTGATAATATAGCAAATATAGGTTCTTTCAAATCTTTCTCCTTACGGATACTTGGAACACCCAAATATGATAAAAAAACAGACAAACATGTTCGTATTAAAAAAGTTATTCGTCCAAAAGATAGATCTATCTTTGACTTTATGATTCGTCCACCCAATAATGATTTTAGAGTCATTGACAGTCCTCTTTTGGTTGTTCCAGAGTCAGAAGTTAACAGATGTTCAAAGGAAAATAATGATACAAGTAGCGAAACTACTTAGGCTGATTTCGATTTGTGGAATCGTTACTTGAGGGAAACGGTATCGAAGGGTATACTCTCTCATTCCCCTCAGATAACATTCCAGACTTGTTTCCATTAACTCGCAACTCCCCATCACACTGCCCAATATGTGATCGGGAACATGAAAGTGATAACAGATATATCTTACGAAATAAAAAAACATATAGATTTTATTGTCATCGTGCAAACCATGAAAGAGAACCTGGAACTAGAAATTTCTCAGTAAAGCTTACCATTAGTGAAACTGCTTTGCAACGGGAACAAAAGCTTCCAAGTCCCGTAAAACTAGAACAATCCAGAATTTCAAATCCTAACGATTACTTTGTATGGAGTGATCTAATAGATATGCGTATATCTGGACGGAAATTTTCTCGTAATGAGATTTATGACGCAATTCAGGCAACAGTCGCCTGTATTCAAACGACATCAAGATTATGGGTGCTCAAAACGGAAGATACAAATGGTGGACTATATTTTGATATGGCGCCAAAACTAGATCTTGCCAAGTATGAAGTTAACTTAATTGAGCTAGGAGGAGAGCCAGTAAAGTTAATTAATTTAATAGATCGGGTGGTTACCAAAGGTCTAATTAAGGTTGTTTGCTGAAACCTAGGGGTTTAGGCAAAATGGCGTTTCGCCGAAAAGCGAAATTCTGCTGAAACTATATTAAAGTTATATTAAAAAACTGGCGAAACTTTAGAAAAAGGCGAAACTGCCGAAACTTATTATAAATGCCGAAACTGCCGAAACTCTGCCGAAACTATAATAAATTTATAGTAAAATTTTGACGAAACTAATCGTAGGATTTTGAAGAGGTTTAAACAAGCAACCTTAGGTCTAATCCTTTACCGCAATATTAATTTTCTTCCATATTCGCTAAATACTTCAGCTCATGATACAAAGTTCTTTAATCTTTTCATAGGTTTTTTGGCTAAGCCAGCGCCAGAAATTAATAAAGAAATCATGAATCCAATTCTTTGGCATGTAAAGAACGTAATCTGTAGTGGAGATGAAAGACGTGACGAATATATCTGGAACTGGTAAGCGTATTTAGTACAGAAACCAGAGATGAAGCCCCGGACAATCTTGATACTAAAATCTACATTACAACAGTGCGGGAAAAATATTATTACTGACTTTATTGGTGATAAAGTCTTGGGGTCACACCTCCATTTTGCAACTTCAGATTTGGAAAAAATTCTCAGGTGTTTTAATAGTGCCATTCAAGCTCGAAAGCTTATTGTTATGAATGAGACTGGAATGTCTAGTGGGAAATGGCATAGATTTAACGGGTATCTCAAATCACTCATAACAGAACGAATAGTAGCTATAGAGCGTAAGGGTCTTGAAACTATACGAATAAATGATTATGCTAGGTATATGGTTACAAGCAATCAGGATGCTCCGCTCAAAATAGACATAGGTGATTCTTGTATAGTCTGTTTTGATGTCTCTGCATGCTGTAGAGGTAATATAGCATATTTTGACCGGCTAGGAGAAATACTAGATCATCCTGATACACCAGGAATAGTAATGTCATACCTTCTTAACCGTAACTTAACAAATTGGAGTCCAGGAAAAATTCCTGTAACTAAAATGAAGATAGAAACTATGCGAGAGCAACTTTCTAATCCTATTCGATTTATAATTGATTATATTTCATCTTGGCCTGAAAATCGTATTAGTAGGTTTAGTTGTGAAAAAGTATACCAGGATTATCTAGAATGGTGTGGATGTAATGGGGAAAAGCCATTAACTAGTAAGGTTGCTGGAAAGAAATTTTCACTAATTAGTATTGATCGAACACGTTCACGAGATAATGGAGTAAGAGTATATCAGTATATACTTGACCGCTCCAAGATCATAGCTAAGCTCTGTGAATCTGGCCTAGGTGATATGAAAGAATTTTCTGATATATCTCAAGACGACTTGCCCGAAAATGAGACCACAGACATACCTATATTCAATGTGCCAGAAACTATTTCCCAGAAAATAATCCCACCTCAGCTAAAAAAGAACACGCCTTTACCTAATACCAGTAAAGATAGGAAGGCCAGTAATCAGGACGAATCGACCCAGCTTCTTTTCGACTATGTAGCAGAAGATACATGTGCTCCAGTCACCTCAACATCTGGCACATCCGAGACTTCTAAACCACCTGAGCCAGTAATCGATAAGCCTGAAGTTAATAAACTTTCCAAAACTAACGAACCCATAAGTAAAAACACGAATATGCCCCTTAAAGAAACAACTAGTAAGCTTTCCGATTCTTCTAAGCCTATCAATGAAGTATTGTCTGCCATACTTCTATCAAGAGCCTAGCGCGAAGAGCGTCTCAGAAAAAGGGCAGTCGAACTCGGCGAGAATCCAGATGCCTTCGTGACCATCACCGAAAAAGATCGACTCGATTCTATTGCATTCTGTGATAGGATGGAAACTGATTCACGAATATGTGGTTGGGCTATAGAGACTGAAGAAGATCTCAAAGAATATATGGACATGAAAGTACAGGAAAGATTAATAGGAGAAGAAATAATCCGTCGTAGTCTTGAGGATGATGGAGTTACATCCTCCTGGCTTGATACCGATGAGAAATGGAAAAAAACGGTAAGCATACTCCAGGAGAATGGTATGCTTTGGTAAAGAGCGAATAAGAGTGGGTTAATTAATATTAGTAAGGATGGGACTTTCGTTCTTTACGACATTATTCCAAATTATTATTATATTTTTTTTCGCATATCCTACACTGGTAAAAAAATGGTCTATCCTACACATATCCTACACATATCTTACATATATCGGGTACTCAAAATGTAGAATATCATACATAAATAATACACATATCATATACATATCGGGTACTTATATATATAGTATACCTATCAGGTACCTGATATATGTATGATATATATATTAGTACCCGATATATGTATGATATGTGTATTATTTGTGTATGATTTTCTACATTTTTAGTACCCAATATGTGTAAGATATGTGTAGGATAAATTATTTTTTTACCAGTGCTATTTACCCACAATTTTCAAATCAATGTAAAACATACCCCGGCCAGAGTGGGTGGGCTCATAGAGATCCTGCAATAAGTTATAATATTCTTTTCCTTTTTCCTAACCCTCTGATAGTTTTCACCAACTATGAGATAGTGAAATGTCAGAATATTTTTTTCGAATTGAACTTTTTCAGATATAGAATAACCTAACGGTTACGCATAATATAGTAGTTACTTCACAAGCTATATTCACACAGCCATATCCGCAATTGTAATAACGTACGTTGCAGAGCACAAACTCAATAAAGATATGAGTAATGAAGAACTTAGCCAGCACGCCCTAGCATTACTCAAGCTATTGACAGATAAACTGAAAAGAGACAAGGGCTGTCAGCGCTTCCAAAAAGGGTATAATTTTAGTAAAGAGCAGGCATTTGTATTAATTTCCGATCAGAGAATTTGCCGAAGTAGAAGTCGGGTAATCCTCAAAGAAGGAGGAGATGAAGCAGGGAAAGTTAATATATGCCAAGTATCCGACATCATCCCAGACGAATAGCCTATTGGAAGTATAGCCCAACGGATGGTACGAGATAATTTTGATGAAAAGAAAGCAGAGGCGATAGCCAAGGCTTTAACTGCTCCTAATCATGTCGCCACCACATCCCGTCTTAGTAGGCTCCGAAGAGAGTTGCGGAAACTCAATGCCCCAGAAAAGATAATCTCTGCTACATTAGACGAAAAAACAACCTGCGCATCTAATAAGATTCAAAAGGAGCGTAGAGAACAACGTGAAAATGAAGGGATTGATTTACCAGATCACTTCTCGTTAGAATCGGTTAAGGAAAGACTCGATTTCTATGATGTGTCTAACACACCCGATGTGCAAGCCCTAGCCGATGTAATGATAATGCTCTGCGTCTGTCCCGCCGAAATTAAAGACTTGCGCATATCTAATGGAGGTGTAACTGGATACGCAAAAAACCGAGACCAACAGAATAATTCTCAGATATTTAGATCGTTAAAAAGAGATGAAGAGCGGGCTAAACTTCTCCTTACTTGGATTCAGGATGCAATTTCTTCTGGACAGTTAAGAGATCCAGGAGTGCCAGGAGTTAAATGGTTTAATACATTTCTGAAAAAAGATAGATTTCTTCCTGAAACTGGTAAACCATTCCTCCCTCGCTATTTGTGCAAATTAGGGGCGGTATTTGCAGTCATTTCGAATGGTGCGAAGAATTTATCAGAAGCTATGACCATTGCCAGTCAAGCCCTTCGACATTCACCAGACAATCATGCCTCTCCAGCGCAAAACTATACTATAGTAAATTATCGAAAAAAGGGACAACTTCATGATCAGGCGACGGTATTCAAGCTCTTCAATGAAAACTAATCACATATATGGGTTAGAAGATCGGGAGGACTAATTTATCAGTCTGATATCATTATTAAATTTTATTTTTTTTGCTCGAGGCAAGATATAGCATATATAAAGTATCATAAAAATGGTAACCGATCAAAATCATTCATCTGACGTATCCAGCGAGCAGGAAGTTATCAGATATACAGAGAAATTAGCCCAGTCATTAGGACTGGATGAGCAGAATACAAGAGCATATAAAGCACTCTCTGGACAGATTTGGGCATTAGAAAAAAGACTGAAAGATTATCATATTAAATATGTAAAGCTTAAAAGGAAGGTCAATTTATTGGAAGATGAATTGGAAGATGAATTGGATGATCTAGACGAATGTGTAGATAGGGAAACTGTGGTCGACTTAATACAAAAAATAGTCCCCTCGCTGGTTAGAGAAAAAAGCCTAATAAAGAATAATCCTTCCTCCTCTTCGTCTGACTATTCATCTGATTCTGATATTGATGAAATAGTAAAAATGATTAAGCATCAAAGGATTCGAATCAGATCCGGAAGCGCCAAGCCCAAAGGAAGGTTTCAGAAAAAAAATGTATATCATCCAACTAGTCTGGACCAGTTATCACTCCGTGCTATAGCTAACCGATAAATGCCAGTCTGCAGTGATAGAAATTTATTTTTTATATTTGGATATTATATATGCCATAATAAAAATGGTATTTGTGAATCGTGTAATCGAAAAAACCAGCTCCAGCCAAGCAGTACTCGATACAAGCGCTGATGTAAGTTGTGTAAGCAAAAAACATATTGGTGAATTAGGAATTGCATATCATGATGAAAATAATAGCATTAAAACTCTGGATGCAACCTATTCCATAATAGGAAAAGTTAATCTGCATATCGGCTTTAATGATGGTGAGAAACATAAAAGCACACCCAGTGAATTCATAGTTGTTGGACTAGATTGGCCGTTACCTGATTTAATTTTAGGAGGGCCTTGGTTTCGAGAAAATGGTGCAACTTTGGATATATGCAATTCAAAACTATTATTAGACGATAATTTTGCGATCCTATTCAAAGTATGAACCCATGCAGAATAAAGATTATCCGAAGTAGTGATCATCAATATGCGTAATTTTATTTTTTCGTTTAAAGATACAGCATATATTATCCATGGCACATTTTAGCGATATTAATATACCAGAACTATTAGAGCAGATTCTATATTTCCTAGCGGTAAAAAAATCCCTCTACCCCACTCTATATGTTTCCCGATTATGGTACAGATGCGGTGCCCCTATTCTGTGGAAGCGTATTGAATTGAGAGGGAAAGACTTATATCCTGGACAATCTCTTCCAAATGATTATAAAAATTACTGTGCAAAGGATCACCCTCGATTAAATAAATTCATAAGGATAGAACTTGCAAAGGATCTCTCTCGATTGAAAAAATTCATAAAGTTAGTACGTAGGAAGCAAACGCCAGTTTATTGCTCAAATGTAACTCATCTCGAAGTATCATACTACCATTCACTTTCAGATAAAAAAATCATAAGCATTGTACATTCATGCCCAAATATAACCCACTTGAGTTTCATAAATAGCATAGCATTTAGTAATAGAGCATTAGAACTGATAGCGGGTTCATACTCGAATCTGAAGTATCTCAATCTATGCATTGATCGGCCAGGTGGCTTTAGGAGCTTTTGTACTCAAGAAGTAGATGGCAGTGGTCTATGGAGAATCGTAAAGTCATGCCATAGATTAGAATATCTAAATATCTCTAATTGTAGAGAATATTCTGAAACATTAATTTGTAATGTTATTCGTTCTTGCCCAAGACTCCAGCAACTCGACCTTAGCTTTTGTCAAATTACCGATATAACTATCAAAGAAATTGCTGGTTCATGTCTTAATTTAAAGTACCTCAATTTGGAAGGGTGTAATAATATTAGCAAAGAAGCCATAGATCAGCTCATTTCACTTAATTCAAATATCCATGTCGAGAATTTTGTGCCGATTCGGATACCTTCCCAAAATAATGGAGCTTTAGATGTGATCCATAGACTCGCAAGGCAACTGGGAATACTACATGATGCACCAAGAGATGTTGCATCCTTAAATAATTTTATCAACGACGAATTATCAAGGAGATTGAGTCAACATTGTATTCTAGCTAAACCATCGCTTCGGAGTGGTGGTTGGTTATATAACACCCGGCATAGTTTTGATAATATTCTGAATCTGGTTCTATCTCAGTTATACCAGCAACTTAATTCCAATATATCTATGACTGTGGACTCTGATGCCGATCACTCCACTATAGCTATAACCAGACAAGCGTCAAGGAATTATTCGGTAGCATTACTTGACGATCAAGCAGAATGGTGAAACTCTACTGATCATACTAATCCGGAGCGGTGATCATCAACCCTGAGTGGCTCGGAAGATTTTTTGCGCCCTGTGTGATAAAAAATATAGATTAGCTAACCTGTTTTAGACATGGGCATTGACCGGCACTAGATGGATTTTTGACGAATATTTCATGCAATTGTTGAGGAGAGAGCTTCGGAAATAATGGAAGCCCCTCTCCAGTAAACATAATTTTCTTTACACCTATTTCACCATATTTCGGAAATATCACACCTGGATCATTCTCTAAGGGACCATGAAACTCCTTAAGCTTCCGGAGACATGCTCTCATATTTTCATCAACTTCTTCCGCCCTTTCTTGATTAGAATAGCCAACAATGTCGAGTTTATCCTGAATTGCTATTATATCCTCTTCCAAACACATAAACAAATTAAATATTTCACCAAATGGAATATCCGTAGAAGCTTTATTGCTTCGGAGTGCCTCTTCTAGAATGGGATTACCATCAATGTTGAGTTTCTCCTGAATCGGTATTAAATCTCCTACCAATTCTAATAACAGCTCGTAAGAATCGGCAAGTGTTTTCCCCATGAGCTCGGAATCTGGAGGCACTACTAATTTATTTGCATTGCCAGGGCCAATACCGAGTTTCTCCTGAATAGCTATTATATCCTTCTTCTTATATAAAAACAGTCCATAAAACTGAGCAAGCGTTTCGGGATTATTATTTGCCATGATTGCTATAATAAAGTAATATATTTAATGCAGAAAATTTAGCGAAGCACCTTAAGGGCTGAGTCCAGAATACTGATCGTCAACCCGGGATAGTGATCATCAGCTCGGAAGAATTTGCTGGGCCACTCCTGTGCGACAGAAAAATAAATGGATCATCAGACAGGTCTTGTGCAACATATTAATTTTTGCATATATATTCGAAAAAGAAAACATACTAACTAGTACCTATATTTTTTTTCCCGAACAAATGTGAGAAAATGTGAAAGGAGGTTTACATGCAACACAGGACCAACTCTAAAAGTAAATAGTGACGACAAAAGCATATGTTATGAAAGGCTGAGGGACACGCAATTTCGAGATCGCCAGGCGTAAAACCAACTATGTCTTTTCGGTAGATCTACATGTGAAAAGGTATGAGAATTCTATTTGCATGTGCCTTCATACACTGGTCAAAAACTAATATATCGGGTAGCAGATATGTATCAGATATGTACCCGATATGTGTAGTATTAATGCAGAAAATCGGGTACCCGATATGTGTAAGATATGTGTAAATATATATATCGTCTACATATCATTTACATATCATATACATATCGGTACCCGATATGTATATGTTGTGCGTCAAGTGTCGATTTGCGTCAGATGCAGCTGACGCGCGTCAGATGTAAATCAACACTTGACGCGCGTCAGTTAATAATTGACAACTGAGGCGCGTTAGCTGTCATCTGACGCATTAATAATCAATAAATTACTATTGTTACACCATCTACTCTACGCTCTGCTCTTTACCTTTTAACGTCCTTTTTACATTTTAATTATATCAACATTTAATCTTTTAATTTTTTAATGGAATACAACTTTATTAGCAAGGCTACACTTGATAATATAGTTAATAATTATATAAGCTCTCTGCCAGAATGTCGACAAGAAAAAGCTTTAGTTAATGAAAATCTTTTTGAAAGAATAAAAAAAATATTACTTGATCCTTCCAACAAAGAAATTGATACAAAGACTACACGTGAGTGGGCAAGAAAACGTTTTATCCTTGAAGAGATTACTCCAGGAGATTATAGGATTATGGCCAAGCGTGATAATAAACCTGTTTTAATTGTTGAAAATATGTATGAAGTATTATGCAGGATACATGCTGAAATTGATAATCACGCTGGTCAGAAACAGTTATGGGAATCAGTTAAACAAAATTGGAGTTTTGTAAGACAGGAAATTGTTGAAAAGTTTGTCAACAACTGCACTATATGTGCCACCCGAAAGCCTTCTTTCCATCCTTTAGCAAGTAAACCAATAATTGCAAAAAACTATCTGTCTCGTGTCCAGGTAAATTATTTATATTGATTATGAAAAAATTCATTTTAATTTAAGAGTATTTCTTTTCTACAGATAGATTTGATTGATTTGTCATATGACGCTGACGGGGATTACAAATACATTTGTCACGTTCGTGATCACTTTACAAGATTCTCTTGGGCGAGACCACTAACTTCCAAACGAGCTATTGAAGTGGCAGCCTTTTTATTTGATTTATTTTTTTTTATTGGCTCTCCTCCAACCATTTTACAATCTGATAATGGGAAGGAGTTTTGCGCAGAAATAATAAAGGAACTTGTTGGCCTTTGGCCATCTGTAAAAATTATTAATGGAAGGCCTCGTCATCCGCAGTCCCAAGGTTTGGTAGAAAGGGGAAATGGTATTTTACAACAAAAATTGGGGAAGTGGAGAGAAACTTCCGGAAGAAAAGATTGGTCATATGGGCTTCGTTTAGTAGTCTTGTCCATGAATAATTCCATTTGTAGATCACATAAAAAAACTCCTTACGAACTAGTTTATGGTGATAAACCTCGTGGAAATTGTAGTTTAATTGATGAACTATTTGCCCGAGGCATTTATGACGAAGAAAACATTCCTGAAATGATCAAAATTGCAGATTTTGAAAGTTCAGATGAAAATTTAGATAATGATTTTGATTTTAATGAAAATTTACTTGGTAAATAAGTTGTTATTATTACTAATTATATTTAACTTAATATTTAATATAGCTTTTTTTATTTTTTTTAGATTCTCCAGCATCATCTCATATGGTAATATCTTTATTTTACTTATTTGATTTTTCAGTTATTATAATTTTTATTAATTTTTATCGTAAATTTTATTAGTTTTATATTATAATTTATTAATTTTAATTGTAAATTTTATTAAATAATTTTTATTGATTTTTAAATAAAATTTTTATTGATTTTTAACGAAATTTTCAATGATTTTTAATGAAATTTTTAGTGTAATTTTTAATTAATTAAATGATTTAACAATATTTTATATAATTTTATCAACTTTCATTATTTTAGGTTTCACAAAACCAAGATAAAGCAGTATATTTTGAAACCAGGGAGAATGAGACGTCAGAACAGCCTATTCCTATTGACCCCGTTCTTATTGACATTACAAATGAAGCTTCATCACAAGAGAGAGTTACAAACCATAAAATATTAAGAGAAGCTGCTCGGCGAGACCTTGAAAATTATACTGAAAAGATGGTTAACCAAATGAATAAGGGAAAGAAAAGACCAAACAACTATGAAGTTGGAGATTTAGTACGAATCTCTGTTCCAAAAATTGATCGCTTTGGTACTGACCGACCTATGCTCCCATGCAAAATCCTGGAAAAAATTAATAATCAATATCGGTTAGGTTCTCAATTTGGAGTCATTAATGTCTTCTATTCAGCAGGAGAAATTAGCCCCCTTGGTGTTAACCAATTTCCGGAACTTGAAATAATACCTACAAGTACAATTACTGTTAGAGAGGCTGCACGTCTCCAAAATATAGGTTCAACCACAGGTACAATATGTAATTGTAAAGGAAATTGCAACAGTAATAGGTGCTATTGTAGAAAAATGGGAAATAACTGTGGAAGCAGATGTCATGGTGGTCGACAATGCCAAAACAAAAATGAAGTTAATTAAGTAAGTAAAATTTTACTATCTGTTTATTATTTTTATTATATAATTATCATTCGTAATAATAGTATTTTTAAAAAAATTGTATATTTAGAGTATTTACCAAAGAATAATTAAAGGAAGAGATTGTATAAACTTTTAGTTCATTTGAAAAATAAAACAATAAAATTTCTTAATTTGATGAATAAAAAAGTACCAATTGTAATTAAAAGAAATTGCGTCAGACGACAGCTGACTTGCGTCAGATGACAGCCAACGCGCCTCAGTTGTCAATTATTAACTGACGCGCGTCAAGTGTCGATTTACATCTGACGCGCGTCAGCTGCATCTGACGCAAATCGACACTTGACGCACAACATATATA